TATCTTCTCTCGCCCTCTACTCTCTTCCAATTGAAGTCATCTCCTCTCTCTCTTTCACCCTCCTCCACTCTCTCTAGAATCAGTCATCTCCTTCTCTCACCCTCCTCTCTCTCTCTCTAGAATCGAATTTATCTTCTTTCGCCCTCTACTCTTTCCAAAAATTTGAAGTCATCTCTCACTTTCCTCTCTCTCTTTCACCCTCCTCCACTCTCTCCAGAATCAGTCATTCTCCTTCTCTCACCCTCCCCTCTCTCTTTCACCCTCCTCCACTCTCTCTAGAATCAAGTCATCTCCTTCTCTCACCCTCTTCTCTCTCTCTGTCTCTTTCCAGATACGAGATCATCTCCTTCTCTCACTTCACCTGGTCGCGCGTGTACCCGGCCGAGCTCGGGCTGGGCAAGCGGGTGGTGGAGAAGCCCATCGGATTCCGGCGACGAGATATCCTGGCTTCGCTCACCACGGCCCTCGAGCACCTCAATGGACCCGTGCCTGCGAGGTGGGGTCTCACAGGCTGGGTTTTTTTCGTTGGGTTTGGGGTTTTTATGTGGGTTTTTGGGTTTGGGTTTGGGTTTTGTGGGGGGTTTCTTTGGTGGTTTTTTATTTTTTTTAATGTTTTTGGGTTTATTTTAGGGTTTGTGTTTTTTTTTTCTTTCTTTTTTTTTCTGTTTGATTTTTTCTTTGGTTTTAGGATTTTGTTTGTTTCTTTTTTTCTTTTCTTAATGTTTTTTTTGTTTATTTTTTATTATTTTATGGGGGGGGTATGTAGTATTTTTTTTTTTTCTTTTTTTTTTCTATATGTACGTTCCTTTCTGCTATTTCGGAACTTTTTATTTAATAATTGATCATAGCCGTTATCATTATTCCATAGCCAACCAAACGAAACAAACCAATCCACAAACAAAACCACCAAACACGACTAAACCAACCACCACAATTTAAAAGTAACAACAAATTAACCCCTCCCCTTCCCCCTCCTTCCCCCTCCCACCCCCTTCCTCCCCCCTGCCACCCCCGTCCTTCTCCCCGCCCCCCCTCCTCCCCCACCCACCACCCCCGCCACCCCTCCTTCCCACCCACCCCGCCACCCCCTCCTTCCCACCCACCCCGCCACCCCCTCCTTCCCACCCACCCCGCCACCCCCTCCTTCCCACCCACCCCGCCACCCCCTCCTTTCCCAACCCACCCCGCCACCCCCCCTCCTTCCCTCCCCCCCCCCAACCCCCTCCTTCCCTCTGTCACCCCCCCCGCCACCCCCTCCTTCCCCTCTGCCACCCCTCCTTCCCTCTGCCACCCCCCCCGCCACCCCCTCCTTCCCTCTGCACCCCCCCCGCCACCCCTCCTTCCCCCCCTCCCACCCCCCGTCTCCCGCAGGTTCACCGTCGACGACTTCGTGGAGGGGATGTACCGCACCGTGCCGACCAGCGGGACCCAGTACGAGCTCCTCTTCCACGACCGCCACGCGAACCGGTCGTCACACCAGTACAGGACAGTTACTCTAATGAGGCCATTTGCTCCTCTCACGGTCGTCGCCAGGGAACAGCAGACGACGAAACAGCTGGTTAGGATGATTTGGGGGGTCGTTGGGGTTTTGGGGTTGGGTTGTGTGGGTGTGGGTGTGGAGGGGGAGGGTGTGTGTGTGGTGTGGGGTGGAGGATTGTGTGTGTTGTGTGTGTGGGTGTGTGGGTGGGTGTGTATGTGTGTGCGCGTGTATGTGTGTGTGGGTGTTTGTGTGTGTGTGTGCGTGTATGTGTGTGTGTTGGTGTTTGTTGTGGTGTGTGTGTGTGGGAGGGGTGTGTGTGTTGTGGGGGGGTGTTGTGTGGGTGTGAGTTTGTTTGTTTGTTTGTTTGTTGTGTGTGTGTGTGTGTGCGTGTATATGTATGATTAGTATTATTAATGTGTTTACTTTTATCATTATTACTACTTCTTTTGCTAATATTGGTGTCAACTCCATCCCTATTTTGCCTGTCATCACAACATTTATTTTTACAATTATCATTATCTTCAGTTTAGATCTGTCTGTCAATATTATACTTCAGTTTATTTTTTTAAAGTAAAAGAATTATCAGGAATTCTATTATATGGATTTTTGCCTTTTTTTTTTTTTTTTTTTTTTGGCTTTTTACGTAATTTATAGATGGATTGTATTCGTAAACTAGTTTTTTTTTCTATCTCAAAAAAGTTCACAGTAATTAAAACGCATTTTTTATTACTCCGTATATATATATATTTTTTTTTTCTTTTTTCTTTTTGTCTTTTTAATATTTCATAGTAATTAGTGTTTTATTTGATTCTATTTTTAGTGCATTTATCTTTTCTCGTCATTTTTCATCGAAATAGTTCACAATGATTAAAGTGTCTTTCACTTTTTTTCGTGTTTTTCCCTACACGCATTTTATTTTCTCGTCTTTTTTTAAAATATGATTAAAGTGCTTTTCACTTGTTATCATTCTTCCCAGCATATATTTTATTTCCTCATTTTTTTTCTTCTTCTCAAAGAACTAGAGCCCGACCCGTATTTATTTTTGCTTATTTTATCAAGTTTGTGTTTTGGATTTGTCAAATTTTTCCGTACCTACACTTTACTCTCGTCCGTTTTCACAAAATAGTTTTGCAAGAATTAATGCCTTGCACTTGTTTTCATTTTCCTTGCTTATATTCTATTCCCTCATCTTTATTCTTTTTTTCTCCTTCTTTCCCTTCTCAAAAAAGAGAGTTTACAATAATTAAAGTGACTTTCATGTGTTTCCATTTTTCCTCTATATATTCTGTTCCCTCTTTATCTTTTTTTTTCTCTTATTCTCCTCCTCGAAAAAGTAAAGTTTACAATAATTAAAATGCCTTTCACTTGTTTTCATTTTCCCTCTATGTATTTATTCCCGCGTCTGCTTTTTTTCTCTTATTCTCCTTCTTCCCTTTTCAAAAGTGCCTTTCACTTGTTTTCATTTTTCCCTCCATTATATCATTTTCATCTTCTCTTTTTCTTTTTCTCCTTCCAATCTCCAAAAATGCATCTCTTTTTCTCTTTTTCTCCTTCCCCTTCTCAAAAAAGGGCATATAGTTTAATGCATTGAGTTTATTCCCTCCTCTTTTTTCCCTTTTATTTCTTTTTTTCCCTTTTATTTCTCTTTTCTTCCCCTTCTCCCCCTCCAAAGAAAAAAAATCTAGACCCCAACCCGTACCTACTACGATAACCTTTGTAGAAAAGGTATGAACGAGAATGAATAATCTCACAACACAAAGATGTATTCGACCGGTTTCGATAATATCGTCAGATATACATTATGTATAACATTATTTCCGACGAAGATATAATCGAACCGGTCAAATACACCTTGTATTTTGAAGATATTCATTTTCTCATCCATACTTTTTTCTACATTTATCAACACGAATTCATTTCATTCACTGACCTCTTCGCTAATTTCGCCAATCTCTTGTATTGCGAAGATTATCCATCCCTATTCACACTATTTCTACATTTACCATGAAATACTCTTCATTCACATGACTCCCCCCCCCCAATGCATTTCATTCACTAACCTCCCCCTCTTCCCTCTCCCTCCCCTTCCCCCCCCCCTTCTCTCCCCCACCAGATCAACATCGTTCTGCCTCTCTCCGGTCCGCACCGAAACCTTCCGTGGCTTCATGGGACAAGCTCGTCACCATCATCTTGAGACACGACCGCAGAGTCTTCCTGACCCGTCGTGTACTTTTGGCCACGAGGGGCTGCAGGAGGTGAGGAACATCATCCACCAACGCGTCGAAGGAAGCCAAGTTCCGACACATTCAAGTTGCTCACCCTCAACGAAACCTTCTCGAGACGGGAAGGGCGCGCAGGTAAGGAGGGAGAGAGCGAGGGGGGAAAGGGAGGGAGGGGGGAGGAAGGGAGAGGATGAGAGGGGGGAAGGAGGGAGGGACCCGGAGGGAGGGAGTGGGGAGGGTAAGGCGCTGCCAGTATGGGAGGTGGAGCGAGAGGGGGGGAGGGAGAGAGAGACGAGAGAGATGCGACGAGAGCGGGGAGCGGACGGGAGAGAGAGAGAGAGTCTCCAGTTTGGGGGGGGAGGGAGTTTTGTTTTGTGCTTTGGCTCACCGCTCAACGAAACTTACCGAGACGGGGAAGGCCCGTTTCTGAGGTAGGGTAAGGAGCGGTTGGTGGCAGGGGGGAAGAGAGGGAGGTGGGAGGGAGGGAGGGAGGGACGAGCGTGGACGCGGGAGTTGGGGATGAGGGAGGGCGAAGAGCGGGGGGGAGAGATGTAAGGAGAAGAGGTGGGATGGGGAACGGACAGGAGGAATGAGGCGGACGCCCGGCTCGAGGAAGGCGCTGCAGTATCGGACGGCCTGGCGAGAGGGAGAGGGAGAGAGGAGCGATGACGAGATGGAGAGGGAGGGGTCTCACTGGGAGGGCCGAGGGGAGAGAGCCAGAGGGAACAGCGAACTGGAGTAAGAGTTGAGATACGAGGAAGAGAAAAGGAAGGAATAGGTGGGGGGGGAAGATAGAGAAGTTTTGCTCACCCCTCAACGAAACCTTTCTCGAACGACGGGGAAAGGGCCTATTTGCACCGTTTGCGTGAGGATGGGTGGGAGACCCGAGGTGAGAGAGGGAGAGGAGAGAGGAAGGAGCCGAAGGGGAGAGGGGAAGGCGCTTTTGCAGGTATGCGCAGGTGTGAGCAACTTGAGGAGGAGAGGCGATGGAGGAAGAGAGAGAGGACGAGGGGGAGGGCAGGAGGAAGGGAGAGGGGGAGACCAGGAGAGAGAGAAGTTGCTCACCCCTCAACTGAAAACCTCTCTTCTCGAGGGGAAGGCGCTGCCAGGGTGACGGACGGTCGGCCGGAGAGGGAGAGGGAGGAGAGAGTGAGGGAGGGACAGGGATGGCGACGAGGGCGGGGGAGAAAGGCGACCTGCAGGTATGGAGGTGGTGGAGGCGCCGCGATGAGGCCCCACAACGCGACCGGGTCAACGGGAGGACGCGAAGGAGGAGAGAGAAGGGAGGAGGGAGGGGTCGGGAGAGGGAGGGAGAGCGAGAGAGCAGTTGCGCTCACCCCTCAACGAAACCTTCTCGAGAGGGAAGGCGCTCTGCCAGAGCCTAAGGAGGTTGCTGGATGAAGGGATCGGAGAGAGGGAGGACGGACGGAGGCGACTGATGTCATCTTACAGAGAGGCTTTGGAAGGATTAGGCCGAGCTGCAATGGTATGAGTGGGTGGATGAGAGGGGAGAGGAATAGCTCCGGGAGAGGCAGACCGCCTTGAAGGCGGGAGTGGAGACGAGGAGAGAGGGCGAGGGGAGGGAGGGGAGGCGAGAGGACGAGATGAAGAGAAGTAAGTTGCTCTCACCTCCTTTCAAGGCGGAAACCTTTTTCCTCCGAACGGGGGTAAGGCGACGTGCCGCTGCAGGGTAAGGAGGGGAGAGCACAACGACTCATAATTACACTAAATACAAAAGAAATAATAATAACGAGATAGGAAGAGAGGGAGAGGGGAGAGGGGAGGAGGAGAGCGAGAAGAGGGAGGAGATAGTACAGCGAGAGAGGCAGTGGGAGGGAGAGGAGGGAGGGAGTGAGAGAGAGAGAGAGAGAGAGAGAGAACAGGGAGAGAGAGAGAGAGACCAGAGGAGAGAGATGATCCACCGATGAGAGACGAGAAAAGAAGATGGAGAGGACGACTGAAGCTGAGCAGAGACGACGAGACGACGACGAGAGAGACGATGATGCCGAGGGCGAGACAGCGGAGCGGGGCAGGTGACGGGGGAAAAGCCCCAGAGTTCCGGGGCGCCCGACGGCGGGGCAAAGCAGAGAGACGAGAGCGAGCATCGGAGGAGAACGACGAGAGCTGGGAGGGAGTGGTGGAAAAGACGAGAGAGAAGACGCGGAACGGACGGTAGGGGAGGGACGACCCGCGAAATACGAATATTAGCCAACAAAGACACGGGGGAGGAGGAGAGCCGAAGAGAGGAGAAGAGATGAGAATGAAAGAGAGGAGATGAGGAGCAGGGAAGGGGGGAAAGAGAGGAAAGAGGGAAAAAGAGAGAGAGAGAAGGAGATATAAGGGCAGACACAATAAAGGAGGGGTGAGTAGGAGAGGAGAGAATAGAGAACAAATGGGCTGAGAGAGAGACGATGAGATGGAGTGACTTTGTATACGAGAGGGAGGAAATCAGCGACGCGATAAGAGAGCAGGGAGGGTGGAAGAAAGAGGCAGGACGAGCAGAGAGAGGTGATGGGAGGAAAGAAGGGGGAAAGCAGGAGAGGGGGAGAAAGATGAGAGAGCCGAGGGTAAAGAGAAAGAGGGGAGCCACAGAAGATTGAGTGGAAAAGAGAAGACGAGCAGACAGCTTGACCGACGGCAAGGGCGAGGCGAGCGGGAAACGAGTCGGAGGCGGAGAGAGAGAGAGGGGAGGGGAGGTGACGAGAGAGAGAGAGAGTAGAGAGAAGAGAGAGGAGGGAGGGGGAAGGACGAAGAGAAGAGAGAGGGGAGGGAGGGGGTCGTGAGCAGAGAGAGCAGAGAAAGAGAGAGAGAAGGAGAGAAGGGAAGGAGAGAGAAGGAGAGAGAGAGGTAAGAGACAAAAACGTGTCAGAAGAAGACCAGACTCAAACCGAGGAACCGAGAGAGTCGAGAGCATGAGACGAGATGCAGTAACCAGGGCGAGAAGGAGCCTTGACTGATGCATCTCTCGTCATCTTCTCCGACCATAGATGGGGAGTTGGGCCTCCTTTCGTTCGGGGGTAACACGAGTACGAGAGAGAGGGGAGGGAGCGCGTGGATGAGAGAGAGAGAGAGAAGAGGGGAGGATGATGGGGGGAGGAAGAGAGAAGAGGGGGATAGAGGGGAGGAGGAGAGAGAGAAGAGAGAGAGATGAGGGTGAGGGAGGGAAGAGCAGAGAGAGAGAGAGGGAGGAGGGGGAGAGAGAGAGAGAGAGAGAGAGAGAGGAGAGAGAGAGAGAGCGAGAGATGGACGGAGAGAGAGAGAGAGAGAGAGAGAGAGAGAGAAGAGAGAGAGGGGAGAGAGAGAGAGAGAGAGAGGGGAGGGAGGGGAAGAGAGAGAGAGAGAGGGAGAAGAAGAGAGAAGAGGGAAGAGGGAAGGCGCCGGTGAGGGAGGAGGTGGGGGAGAGGGAGGGAGGGGGGAGGAGGAGGAGAGGGAGAGGGAGAGAGATAGAGGGGGGAGGGAGGGAGAGAGAGAGAGAGGGGGAAGGAGGGAGGGAGGAGGGAGTGAGGAGGAAGGGAGGGAAGGAGAGAGGAGGGAGTGAGAGAGAGAGGAGAGGAGAGGAGAGAGAGAGAGAGAGAGAGAGAGAGAGAGAGAGAGAGAGAGAGAGAGAGAGAGAGAGAGAGAGAGAGAGAGAGAGAGATTAATGAAGGTGATCAATTATAATGATGATAATATTAATGATAATACTAATCATGATAATAAATTAATAGTAATGTAAATGATAAAAGTAGTAATGATAAATATTATAATAAAAATTATTATTATTATTATTATAAAGGTAATCATAATTATGATAATATTGATGATAATAAGAATGGTATTGCTAAAATCAACGATAAAAACATCCATAAAAATAACGATGCATGGAAAAAACATAATTATAAAAATACTGAAACAGATAAAATCAAAGGAACACCCCCCTCTCTCCCCCCCCCCTCGTCTACAGGTGGGAGCCACGCACTGGTCCAAGGGCGACGTCCTCCTCTTCATGTGCGACGTGGACATCGTCTTCAGCACGCGGTTCCTGGAGCGCTGTCGCCTCAACGCCTCCCCGGGCCACTCGGTCTACTACCCCGTCGTGTTCTCCTTGTACAACCCCCAGATGGTCTACCCGCTCCAGGGGAAACTGTGTGCCTCAGGTAAAGGGTTTGTTGTGTTGGGAGGTGTTTGGAGGGTTTGGGGAGGTGTAGGGTTCGTGGGCGTGTTAGCGGGTGTTTGGGAGGTGTGTCTGTGGTGTGTGTGTGTGTCCGTGTTAGGAGATGTTTGGATGTGTTTCGGAGTGTAGGTTTTCGTGGGCGTGTTAGCGGGTGTTTGGATGTGTTTGGGAGGTGTCCGTGGGTGTCTGTAAGTGTCCGTGGGTGTGGGTGTTTGTGTGCGTGTTAGCGGGTGTTTGGGGTGTTTTGGAGTGTTCATGGGTGTCTGTAAATGTCCTTAGGTGTAGGTGTTTGTGCGTTTGTAGGTGATTGGATGTGTGTGGAAGTGTTCGTTGCTGTTCGTGTGTGTTCTTGATAGCGTGGTTTGGTGGTGTTATCATTGTTCTTTTGTTAGTACAGTGGCTTGTATGTTCGATGTCCTTAATAGTTGAGAGAACAGTTGATTTTAAGTAGATAGTTGATACTAACACTGTTCATTGTGACAAATCTATAAAAAGGTTATGGATGAAAATGAATATCTTTATTGTACACTGTGAAGATATTCATTCTCCTCTGTATCTCGTCAACATAAACAAAATAAACGTATTGAATTTATTATTTATAATCATTTTCTAGACAATTATTCAAGTTGTGTACTCATAACACAAAGCCACGAAAATGCCACTTTTCAAGCTCACGCAAAGTAAATACCAGTCATTAAAAGCAAAATAATCTGGGTAGAAAAACCTGATTTAGAATTCCCGAAAACGAATATCATGCAAGCGTTTCACTTCCGTTTGGAGGCCTCGCATTTAGTTGAAAAAAAAAGATGCAGAGCGTATTGCAAAACTGTCTGGCCTGAGTTGGTTGTTTACATAATATTAGGACTGTTTACTTCCACGTCCCGATTCATCGTGCAATTTGAATGTTTAATTAGATATATTGATAAAGCGCGTTGAGGCAGAAAGACCTAAGTTTAATTTCGAAAAGTGATTATCCTATCAATTAAATCGACAAAGATACGTCATTCCACATCATTCTCTCTATCAAAGTCCTATTAAACGTAAAGCGAAGGTAATCACCCAAAGAGTTATTTAACTGATAGAGTGATTAACCAAGTGATTAAATGAATGACTTTTTTTATCATCGTATGTAATGTAGTCATTTATTTTTTATAATTATTTAATAACATATCATCGTATCATCTGTAATGTATTCAATATTTTTATCATGATTATTTAATAAAATAACTTTTTTATCATATCATCTAAAATGTAGCCGATAATTTTTTTTTTTTTTATCACCGTCTATCATTTTTCTCTTACATTTTTTTAATAACTTCTTAAAACTTTTTTTTTTTCTTATCACCGTGTCTCTCCCGAAGGAACTGGACCAACTCGTCATCTCGAGAGACACAGGATTCTGGCGTGACTTCGGCTACGGGATGACCTGCCAGTACAGGTCGGACTTCCTCAACGTCCAGGGCTTCGACGAGGATATCATAGGATGGGAGGAGAGACGTGCTGCTCTACCGCAAGTGAGTTCGGCTGCGCCTTCGTCTGCGTCTCTCCTGGGCGGAGTGGAATTAGGATTACGTGTGTGTGTGTGTGTGAGAGAGAGAGAGAGAGAGAGAGAGAGAGAGAGAGAGTCTGTGAGAGAGAGTGTGTGTCTGTGTGTGTGAGAGAGAGAGTGTGTGTTGTGTGTGGCGAGTGTGTGTGTGTGTGTGTGTGTGAGTGTGTGTGTGTGTGTGTGTGTGTGAGAGAGAGAGAGAGAGAGAGTGTGTGTGTGTGTGTGTCTGTTTGTGTGTGAGAGAGAGAATGTGTGTGTGTGTTTAAATAATTTAAAGAATAACACTAGCCACAACAGTAAGGGAATCATTTGACCACCACTTTTCGAGTCTGTTTAAACTCCTTATCAGATGGTAGAGCCCAAATCATGATAAGGATATCACGTGATTGTATAAATCTCCTGCATTTTATTTTAGGTATTTTTTTATGGGTTATTGCTTTCCTTTTTGTTTCCATTTCTATTTCCGACTGAAGGTATCTGTTGTTAATTTTGTTTGGTAATTTAAATTATTGGTTACCTCAAAATACACCATATTTAGGATCTGATGTACAAAAAAGAGCCCCGCTGCTTATATGTCGGTAATCTTAAAAATTACTTCTTGTCATCAGTACAGTACCTACATAATCGACAAAAATATATAAAAAGAAAAAGAGAGCGGAGATAAATGTAAGGCGAAAATAATAAAAAGAATTTAAAAAATAAAATTCAAATGACTTTTAAAAGCATGAGAGAATATACTGGACAGCAGCACCAAGAACACAAACAACAAAACCTAACAGTGAACAACAGAAACAACTTAATGGCTTAACAACTTAACAGCGAGCAACTCCAACAACCTAACAGTGAACAACACAAACAACCTAATGACCCAACAACCTAACAGCGAAGAACACCAACAACTCTAACAACCTAACAGCGAACACCTGCAACAACCCACCAGCCTAACCGCAGAATACTGTTGATTATTACCATTATTGCAATTATTATCAAAATTATCATTATAATTATCATTTTATTATTGTTATCATTATCATCCTTTCCCCTCGCAGGTACGTCAAGTCGCGGCTGTCCGTGATCCGCTCCACCGACCCGGGCATCTTCCACCTGTGGCACCCGAAGGAGTGCTCCACTTCCCTCTCAGCTGATCAGTACCGTGCCTGTATCACTTCACGTGCTTTGAACGAGGCCTCCCACGCCCACCTCGGCCTCATTGCCTTCAAGGACGACCTCGGGAAGCACCCCCTCGGCGCCGATGCTCTCACCGGCAGCCAGGCTCTTGAGGAACAGCAACTCAAGGCTGAGATGTAGTCGTTGAATTTTCTTTTTTTTCTTTTTTTTTATAATTCTTGAAAGCTGTTTTAGAAATGATAAGAGAAAATGGATACGCTGCGCAGTGCCTGTGACTGATGCCTCTCTTTCCAGAATTTTCTATGTGGAAATAAATCTACAGATATATAGATATATATGTGTGTGTGTGTTTGAAAAATAACTTTGGAAATGTTGCTACTTTCAAGTCTATAATACTTCCAAATCACAACCGAAAGTTAGCCAGTTCTATTGCATATTGTAAGAATGTGAAACTTTTTTTTTTCTCTCAATTGCTTAAAGGAAATACAGATAATTATTTTCAAGGAGTCATGATAATTATCTTAATTATTTTTTTTTAATGAACAAATATTTCTTCCCGGTCACCTGTATCTGTTCTGCCATTAGTTCTTAATCTCTCTTGTTATTACAAGAATTTGTATTCATATTTTCACCTGTTTCCATGATCAACCCTTTGGCTGGGAGCTGAAATAAACACACGGTATATGGAAAAAATATTTAATATTTCCATTCTTTCATTTCACTTCAACATAAACAAAGACATAAAAAGGACAACGATAAATTAAATGAAAAATTAGAAAGTACATATAAAGTTGTTCCTGGTTCATTAACCTAAAAAATATTATTACTCGTAATTAAATTAATAATAAGCGTAAGGTGAAAAAAATGCATTAAGTAAAAGAGATAAATATCCACACTGATCTTGCTTCATGTTGCCAAATTAGAGGAAAAGAAGTCAATAAAGGCGAAATTATAATGCATTAATCAGACTAAATAATCTTTGAAGTGTGAAGAATATCGCGAAAATGAGCAGCCAAAGGGTTCAAAAGGTAAAAATAATAATATTTAATATTCCATTTACGTCCGTTATCATCATTACCTTCATGACTTTGATTCCGAATGTTGTAATAATTTTTTTCTTATTTTTCTTTGTATGAATATGCTGTTTGTAAAATACCTGCAAGTCGAGAATAGCTGTTGGTATATGGCGAGGCATAATAGTATATGTCATAAGAGTAAAATATTTGAGAAATGTAGAATATAAGCGATTTTTACTTTTTTTTATTATTATTATTATTATTGAGCTCCTCGGTTGTATATAGTTCCTTTTATTCCTGTGAAAGCACGTCGTTTTTTATATATATTTGTCTACAACAGTATTAACCTTACCTTTTGATTTTTACTCTTAAATACTGTCGTTATTATTTTTATTATGTTTTTATCATTATCATCATCATTATCATTAATCATCATCATTATTATTACTATTATCATGGACATTATTATTAAAATTGTTATTATTATTATTTTGTACGTCCTTAAGAAAAAAAATTCTCATAATTTCCACCTGTAAAATATGTATCGGTTATTTTTCATAAGAATATTTCTTTTACAACTACAGATAAGATATCACGGTGTATTAATTCATTCCATTTACTTTATTCTTTAAATATCTTACTCTGTGTATCAACATTCCTACACGACTTTATTTCCCTATGATACTAACATCTTATTTATTACTGTATATCTTTTTTCTTTTCATTCTTCATCTTTTTTTTTTTTTTAATTCAACCAACATGGCCAAGTTCCAAAAGATCATGAAGGTTTTTTGTTGTGATAATGTAAGGCATTAGACTAGCATCGAAAGAACCAGTGGAATGCCAGCCCAAAGTGTGTCATGAGCCACCTTCTCTTTGGCATTTTGTTTGTGGCAAAGCTGTGTCATGACAAATAGTAATACTCTGATATTCTTTAAAAGACAACTGCAATGTCCCTAGAAAAGATGTTTATATATACATAAATGTATATATATATATATATATATATATATATATATATATATATATATATATATATAATATGTACACGTATGTATTTGCGCAGGCCATGTATGTACTGTATATAGTTTGTATATAAATGTTTGTATATAAGCATATGCACCATGATGACTGTATATGCCATATATATGACTAACATTTATCCATTCACTATACAGTGTTGAAACAGACAGCCTTCTTAACAATCCAAATAATGTTATGGAAAAGTATTAGACCCAAAAATTAAATCCACAACGTATTCAGTCAATGAAATTATTTCGAGTAAATATTAGAAGCAAGATATTCCATTAACAGGGTGGTCCGCGTGTTGTTTTTTCAGAATGTTTAGGTCTCATTTTCGTTATTTTACGATTGTGTTTAGAGTAATAAAAATGTCAAAAAGATATATATACAATATTCTTTTCTAAAGCGGAACTTGAATACCCTATGTGAGAATGTTTTATGTTATTTTTTCTGTTTTTTGGAAGTGAAATTTTTGAAAATGCTCACACTTGAAGTGCTTTTCCGATCGCGAACAAAAATCGTTTCTCGTTGTCTCTCTTTGTCACTTCTACATGAATGGGTTTTACTAGTAGAAACCATATTCAAAAACTGATAAAAGCTTGATATCCAAAATAAAGCTACAAAAGATGGACATTCAAACATTCATTACTCAATTAAAAAAAAAAAAGTGTACGAACAAATGTTTCCTTTTTATAAGTGTAGTTCTAGAAGTGTCCTGGGTTATGCCCTCCCTTTTTACACCATCTAGAAATATACATCAACTAATCAAAGATTTGAAAGCCTTCTATAAACAGGTGCAATGTGAAGTCATTCCCTTAAAAAATCCTAATTTCTGAAAATAGACAAAAGACTGAAATAAACTTCCATCGAGAGTTGCCAAAACCTTCGTAAAACTTCAGTCTGTTCCAAGAAAGTGTTAAATTCACATTTTATAATCTCCGATATGATTCTATTACACGTTATTTATGATAATATCTCGAAAAAAAATACCAGAAACTTTCCGTTGCAGACGGTTATAAATATTATCATAAGCAACACAGAAAACGTAGCACGATCGTATCTAGGAGTGACTAAACTGTTTTTTTTTTCATTATTTTAAATACCTAATGACCGTGTAAGAATCTCATCATATACTTTTGATTTCTTTACAGTGCACCTCTAATGTGATCTGATCTTGTCGTCTTCCATAAGCTGTATATGTGAAACTTCTATATTGCTGTCACCATATACTATTAAGGATTTTACATGTACTTAGTGTTTGATCAACAGCCTTAATGTTTAATATCTGACGTACACATATATCATTGTGTTATGATTAGCGATGCTGTAGTATATTCCATTTCAGGACCCATTCCACTTTTACACTTAGTTGTAATATATTGTGTAGAGCTATTTGTTTATGTAGCATTACAGTTTGAAATATATGAATTATATAAAGAAATGATGGATACTGTTACTTGTTGTCTTTTATTGTCCTATTTACATGCACGTTTTGATAATCCTTTAAGAAAATTATAAGTATAATATTCCAAGATAGAAATATAATGATATAAAGAAAATGTAATACCACTTGATAATTTTTGGTGGAACTTTTTGTAACTGTAATAGGCAGAAACTGTTTTATGTAAATGTTTTAGTGTGTAAACGAATCATGTTTAAAACTCTGGTCCAATGTAGAATGCAACAAACAAAGAGAGAAAGAAGAGAAAGAGAGGAGGGGAGAAAGAGAGAGAAGGGGAGCAAAGGAGGTAGGGAGAAGGAGAGAGAGAGGAGAGAGAAGGAAAGGAGAGGAGTAGGGAGGTAGGGTAGGGAGGAGGAAGGTGAGGAAGAGGAGAGGGAGGAGAGGTAAGGAGAAGAGAGAGAGAATAGAGACAAAGAGAGAGGAATGACAGTTCGCGGAGAGAGATGAGAACAGACCAGAAGTACGTAAACAGTTCGTATTAGGGCTGAATAGGCTGAATAGCTTTTTTCTCTCTCTACACAACACTCGTAGCAACGTCTAGAAAGGTAGGTTGAACTGAAAATGACACGATAAAAATGATGATGAATAATTATGATGTCAATGATGATGTCGATGATGAGAGTGAATAAATATGATGTTGAGTGTGATGATAGTAGAGACTGAATTATAATATGATAAAAGCTAGAATATGCTCTTGTATAGAAATAGATAGTATAGAAGCAACAGTAAGAGTGAAATTGATACAAATTTTGCATTATCACCTTCCTAAATAAATGATCTTTTTCCAGAGAAAAAATCCAATTTTAGATTTAGCTAGTCACGTTTGATCAGGAATCATAATATTGCCGACTGCACAAAGGATAGAACAAAACTTTTATTTCATCTGAAATCTTTCTGGATTCTACATTTGATGAAAAAAGAAAATAAAAAGTTATACACCAACTTAGTATTCTGTTTGCTAAATATTCAACATTTTCGACGGATTAACTTGGCAAAAAGACGCAGAAATACATGGAAAAGTAAAAGTTTGAAGCACTGATACAAACAATTAATCAATGTTATCTCTAACTAGGAAAAAATGACTATCCCTTGACTATCCCTCAAGGAAAAAATGACTATCCCTCAACTAGAAAAAAGACTACCTCAACTAGGAAAAAATGACTATCCTCAACTAGAAAAAATGGACTAGAAAAATATCCCTCAACGTAGGAAAAAATGACTTCAACGCATTCAAATGTTAAATTTTAACCAAAAAAAAAAATTAAAACAAAAAAATCTGTACACCGTAAAAAGTATATCTCTATAGTTTATCCGACCGAATCTTTTAAAGAATGATCTCTGGCCAATCGGTCTTTTCCCGAGGCAATAAATTAGATTTCAAGAGCAGACAATCCCTTTTCACACCCCCCACCCCCCCCACCCCACCCCTCCCCCTCTTTACTCTCGCGTGCAATTGTCGTGGGGCGTTGACCTAAGTTGACCTCCCCGCCTCGGTGACGAGAGAAAAACGGGTCCTGAGAGTGCAGTTGGGCCATGGCGCTGTCTCTAAGCGATTTTTGTTTTTGTTCTTGTTTTTTCTTATTTCTTATTGATGTTTGTGTTGATGTGGAAGCGATGGAATGGGTGTACGGTGAGGCGGAGTGTGAATGAGAATGGAGATATGTAAAGAGATGTATTTAACCTGTTTCGAATGTATATCCGTCAGAAATATGTGTGTATAATGTTTGTGTATAATATATATATATATATATATATATATATATATATATATATATATATGTATATATATACATACACAGTACACGTTGTTAGTGTTCGTTTGTATGGTTTGGTGCCACTGTCTTGTGTTCGTATTCTTAAGTTGCAAAATGAAAGGCCTCTGAGTTCATTTAAGAGTATATTCCTCGACAGCAAGTTTCGGCGCGGCGACAACAATCTCTGAGACAATCTGACATCAAGGCGCGAAAGAGCAATCCCCTTCGGAAACCCGCCACGAACAGCCAAGGAATCACTCGGCGGTTTGGAGCAAGTGCATCTTGGAGGCCGCGCTGAGGTTGACGGCCTTCTTCAGGGACTTCTTCGGCTCCTGTCGCTTCGGCTTCTTCTCGCCCTCCTCGGCCTCGCCCTTCTGCGGCTGCTCGCGCGCCGCGCCCTCGCCGCCCTTGCTGGCGGCGCTCTCCCTGCCCGACCTGCTGGAGGCGCTGCTCCTCCGCGACCTGCTGCTGGCCCCCCGTCCCGCCGGGCGCTGTCCTTGCCGCCGGCGGGAGCGCAGCGGCGGCGCCCTTCTTCTGCTTGTGGGTGCCGACGCTGGGGCGCAGGGACGCGGCTCGATGGCGCGCGCGCGTGGTGGGGTGACGGTGATGGCGTCCAGCAGGAAGTTGTGAGGCGCTTGAGCACGGTGGAGGTGGAGGCGCGCGGGCCCAGGGCGGCAGGAGCGCTGGTACGCCCTGGCCACGCAGTAGATGTTGACGATGGCGAGGCGCACGCGCGTGAGGTGCGTGTGCGTGTGCGTGGACGTGGTCTGGAGGGCCGCCAGACGCCTCCATCTCGCCCAGACGTCGCGACGACGCCCACCCCGACGCCCGCTCGCGGTACAGCTGCAGGAGCGCCTCGCCCTCGCGCTCCTTCTCGCCCTGCAACGCACGCCCGCGCAGGGCTCCGGTCTTAACCCAGGATCTGTTTTACTGCTACTTTCGTGCACTTCTCTTGGCATCTACATTCCGACCTGGATTTACGACGATATATATGCATCTATTCATATCAATACTGACGTTGCACCAGCAGACATTTATATCATAATACCCTCACCTGCACGAACACCAGCAGTTGGCGCCGCGACTGCTGAAGGCGCAGCATCGCGTGGTGGACCTTCAGCAGGAGTTGGAAGCGGAGGGTCAGCAGGCCGGAAGCGCCCGCAAACGCCCTCCACCGTGCTCGCCTCCGTCCCCACGCCCGCACGCTGTTCTCCACGTAGTCCTGCGGGAGGAGGGGTGGGCGTGGGGAAGGACGGAGAGAGAGAGAGAGACAAAAGAGAAGAAGAGAGAGAAGAGCAGAGACAGAGACAGAGAGAGAGAGAAGGGATGAACGAAAGATGAAGAGAGGAAACAGAGAAGGGAAAAAACGGTGAGAAAGAAGCGGGAGGAGGAATTGGTGGCGATGACGAGGAAGAAGTGATGATGGTGGTGAGAAGGCGCGAAATGGTGTGGGAAGGGCAAGAGAGAGAAGTGGTTGAGGAGGAGGAAGTGGTGTTGGTGAGCAAATAAAGAAGTGTGATAAAAATGATAGCGAGGATGATAGTCATATAAACGATTATCATGATTATCATTACGATTATCATCATCATTATCACCATCACTCTTTATCATTATTGTTATTATAATGTAGACAGAAACATGGACATCAAAAACAACAAATACCAAATCACCTCATACCCTCACCACAACCTTTAGACTTGACCATTTGACCTCTGA